TCCTTCCTTCTGTCTTTCTGTCTTAGATCCTGAGAGGAGGTCCTTGTTTCTTCTCAGCTTCTGTTTCTTATCTCCTTGGTGATTTTCATGGCATGAAAATCTGTCTTATCTCCATATCTTTGTTTCGTGTGCTCAATCTGCTCAGATATCAAGAAATTGACTCAAAACACAACACCCTATGCTAATACAGTCATATTGGCATAACAAGCCCTCTTCTCACATAGAATTCCATCCACACCGGTATAGGGTTGGGTTTGACACCGTACATGTTGTTGTTAGATGCGCTTGAATCAAGTATAGCTCATAGTGACCCTGTGAACAACAGACCTGAACCCTGTCCTAGCCTGTACCCTCTTCACTGTCTCTGAAATACTTGAGGCCCTCCTTGCAGTTGCTGTGTCAGTCTGTCCTGTTGAGGGTTTTCCTCTCCTTTGCTGACCCTATACCTTTGCGAGCATGGTCCCTCCCCAAGGAGCAGTCTTTCCTAACAACTTACATCTACGTCTCACAGATTGTTGAAGAGTCTTCCTCTAATCCTGATTTCTCTTCATGAATCCAATTCATGAATTGTTGGCTCAGCATACAGATTGAATAGATATGGAGAAAGGATACAACCCTGGTGCATACTCTTCCTGATTCTAAGCCATGCAGTGTTCCCTTGTTCCATTCGGACAACAGCGTCTTGGTCTAAGTATAGATTTTGTGTGAGTACAATAAAGTGTTCTAGGATTCCCATTCTTCTCAATGTTAACCATAGTTTATTGAGATCACATAGTCCAAATGCCTTTGAATAATAGTCAGTAAAACACAGATACACCAGATACACATTCTTCTAGTATTTTCTGGTCCCAGTCAGGATCCGTCTGACATCAACAGTGACATCCCTGGTGCTATGACCTCTTCTAAACCTAGCTTGAACCTCTGGAAATTCCCTGTCAATGTATTGTTCCAGTCCTTTTTGGATGACCTTCAGCATCGTTTTGCTTGTATGTGGTAATAATGATGTTGTTTGATAATTTCTACCTACTGTTGGATCACCTTTCTTGGGAATGGGAACTAATAGGGATCTTTTCAAGTCAGTTGGCCAGGCAGTTGTCCTGTAGATATGTCTTGGGAAAAGTGCAACCAGAGTGCTTCTTGAAGGCAAGGCTCGTATTTTGGACATACTGCTGAGAGAGGCTATTCCTTGGAAAGAGACATCTTATTTGGGAAGGTGAAAAGTCAGCAAAAGAGAGGAAGACCCCCAACAAGGTGAGGTGACACAGTGACTGCAGCAGTGGGTTCAAGTGTGTCAGGTGATGAGGCTGGCCAAGGATAGGACAGAATTCAGGTCTTTTGTATTTAGGGTCACTGTTTTACTCAAGTCGATGGTACCCATCAACAACAGTGCATTTCAGGAGGACAGAACTGAGTCCATTACAAAGGTCGTGCTTTTTTGAGGACTGGCAGTTATCTGAAGTTTAAGTGTTAGCTATGGAAAGCACTTTTCTACTCAGAGAATAGACTCGGTAGTTTATCCAAATGCAGCTGTGGGCAGCTGGTCAGTGTGACTAGTTAATGATGGGAGGACTGGTCATGGCATTGCATGGGGTGATTTATTCAGATGAGTGAGCTCCAGGCCTGAAAACGTCAGTGGTGGTGGGCCACCACGTGGTCGGCAGCTGCTGTCCTTAGCAGCCTTAGGGAAACAAGACTGTGTACTTCCCTGTCCTGAAAGTTACGGGTCAGGGCATGGTGTATGCTCAGGCTCCCGACCCCGCGGGTTTGGGGGTTTTTTGTTGTTTGTTTCTGAGACACATCTGTGTCTTTTTCTTTTCTTTCTTTTTCCTTTTCTTTCCTTCCTTCTTTCTCTCTCTCTCTCTCTCTCCCCCTTCCTTCCTTCCTTCCTTCCTTCCTTCCTTCCTTCCTTCCTTCCTTCCTTCCTTCCTTCCT